GTGGACAATATCATACCATTGTGGAGAGTCGTGATTCCTAACAGTATAAGATTGTTAGTCACACGGGTCAATCCCGAGAGAGAGAGAGAGAGATTAGAAGAACCTGAGTAGATGCGAAAATATGGCCAAGAACACCCTCCACATGCTCCATTTCCTCCATCAATTGCTTGAGCTTTAAGCTCCTATTCCCCTTCTCAACAAGCTTACCAAAGCATCTCTTCATAGAGTTATGGTTCAGCTTGAGTGCCTCTGGCATGCCATGAGCTATCAACTCAGGCCTCTTGGCAGCACCATTGTTCACAATTGAACCCATATTGTATAGCTGTTTCTTCTCTCACAAGTGCATTATGCAATGGTTGAACACAATGGGGCATTTATAGGAGAGGTAGGCCAAATGGGTTTGGTTTTGGTTGGCCAATGGCTTAGGGAATTTGATGTGTAGATGGAGCTTTAAAAGATTGGAAAAGAAAGAACATTATTGGAAAAAGGAAAAAGAATCTGTGGGTGAGATGAACTTGTTGGAACACAAAAACAAAACTGGTTTGGTTTGGTTTTGTTTGGTTTTGTTTCATAACTTTGGTAATTCATTGTCCTTTCCATGTAAAGAAATGAGTAATCGCTAGCTGATTCGATTTGGAGCTTCTTACATTTGCTTAATGCTAATCGCTTTAACATTGTCGAGTCAACTATCGTTTACCAGTGATTTAGATAAGAATCCTTCAAACGCGTCTGTTGGAGAGAAATTTACATATCTTTATAAGGAATGTTTTGTTCTCCTCTCCTACCGATTAAGGGTCAGCGTCTGATGATTGGCTCTGATATCATTCCGTTGGAAACGGGAACGAACCATTATTTATAAGAGCGTGGAAAACCGTGGCTGATGACAATATATACTAACGGTAGGCTTATACTGTTACAGTTTTGGTTGGGTTATCAAATAAATGAACATGGTCACGTTACTTACTTATCTTAAATTGCTTTTAAGAGTGAAGATTATTCTCATAAACTAACACGTAACGTTTTTTAATATGTTTTGTCATTTTTTACTATTCTGTGGTTGTGATTTAGGTCGAGTTTTTTAAAATAAAGCTACGAACACAAACCAAACTAGGGGCGTTTAAAAAATTTGTTAATCCAAAAAAAATTCGATCAACTTTATCCAAATGTAAGTGATTAGTTGGTTTCAAATAAATGAATCAAGATTTGGTATTTAATTACTCACCTCCTACGTTCATCTTTAGTATGCTTTTTTCTCACTTATGAAGTCAACTATTGTCCGATGAGATTTAGATGTAGTGCTTGATCGTTAAGCTGCAAACACAAATCAAAACTCGGGCTATTTACAAAATCAGATGACCCAAAAAAAATTGATGAACGTTGCAACGTTTATCTTAGATCGATAATCTCAATCCAATCTATACAGTTTAGATTGAAGTTTCTATGACTAAGTTATTAAAAAGAAATGTGCATCTTGTTGATATATATAGTAACTATCGATTCTTTCAAACCATTTTTAACTAAGATATTCTTAGGACCACTCTCGTTCGATCAGATCAAACTCAACCCATAAGCCAAACACGCTAAAAAAATGTCTCAATCAGATCGAACTCAACCCATAGACACTCTTATCTAATCATTGTTGATCGATGATTTGTGATTTAGATAGAACGCTTGAAAATTAAGCGACAAACACGAAGAACATTCCTAAATTACCTACCTTACTTTTGAATTATTGTGTGTCTTTTGTTAAGTGGTTGGAATCAATTTCTAAACCCACATTACTTTTTGAACATGCCTAAGCTACTTAAAAGCTTATTCTTTATTCCATGATTTAATGTCCTTTGCCAACCCACCAATTGTATTCCCATCAAATGGTTCAAAATAAACTAGCTTTTCAACACGTTCAAATTTACTGATCTTATAAATAATTTTTACGATCTTTACTTATAACATAAAAAATACAATAATTCTTTCTATGTTCGTCTCGAGATGATTATAAGGAACTGAAAAATATATCGAGTGACATTTACCTAATTCAATTAGGTCTATCGATAATACCGAACTTTCTGTTATAAGCATCTATGTAAGATAGGGTTTGAAAAGAACCCATTATTGATATTGTTTTCAAGTTTATTCTCACATCAAGAAGTACATGTGTTGCCAGTTCTACACGGTGACAAATGGAGGATATAAGGAGAAGAAAAGGAATGGGGTGCTAATAAGGTTCAAAGTTAATATTCTCGTTTTAAGAATAACACGAATACGACAAAAACAAGTGGCAGTTCCGATCTTGAGCGATTGATTTAAAAAATTGGAATGTCGTCTCGTGAACCTGCTATGACTTGAGGGTTGTGGGAATCTTCTCGTAACATTTAAAAATTTTGAATGTTCTTTTATCTCGTAAACTTACTATGACTTCTTTTAAAAAATTTGTATATTATTTTGTCTCTGTGAATCCGGCGTGCTTTTAGATATATATATAATTGAAGAAAGTATATTCTATGGTGTGAGAAGGTATATTCTATGGTGTGAAGTATATTCTATGGGTGTACGCAGTTTTTAAGAGGATATGAACCTTTGGGCGTTGAGAGAATGAGTAGTCATGCTCACTTTGGTAATCTATTCATTATGTTTTTTATTTGACTTTGACCGTCACTCGTATTCTCTACCTTCGGCTATAATGTTTATAGATTAGTTGTTCGTAAGTATGCTTCTCTCTCGATTCTAGTTTCGATCTTGATTTTCTATTAAGGTTTTTGGGGTTCAGTTTTCTTCACCCTCGGTTTTGTTGTCGGTGTATTACTACTGTTCTTTACCATCTTTAATGTTGGTGTTCTCGAAGGAGGAATCATTCCTATTGGATTTGCTCACGTCGAGTGTCGAGTGTCACAGCTCGAAATTCAAGACTTAGAATCAATTGTGTGATCGAGAGACTATGCGAGGAAAGAACGTAGAAAATAAATGAGGAAGAAGATTTTACGAAAAAAATTTAGTAATTAAGAAAAAAATTTTGGGGTAACAAAATGCATGATATGACTATGCATGATTGTGCAAGACTCATAGATGCTCTGGAGCACCCTCGCGCCAGTGACATCATTTACCTGAAAAAATGTAGAAAAGGATGAGTATAAGAATATCCGGTAAGCAACCTACTTGTAGGCTCTCTTCGTATCCATAACCTAGTAAGTATCCACAAGACCATACTACCACAAATATTGACAATCATCGTGGTCTCAAACACTGGGGCTGGGCCTGTTGGCAGCCCTTCGTGACCCTAAATGCACCATCTCTTAAAGGCATCTTGATCTAGACTTTGTCTAGGTCGATAAGTCTCTAGCATTCTAGTCTGAGCTCAATGTTTCTTCCTATTCTCAACAAGAAAGAAAATACAGACAATCGTATACTAGAGTTAACGTGCAATAGTCCTTGCAATATCAACACGCATGTTCGACGAGAGATAACATCCATCTTCACCTGGACTGGACTGCATGTTTCACAAAATTTCCTTCCTCCTTTCATGTACATTCAATATGATATTCTTAGCTCGTAATTAAGTATGCTTAATTTCTTATTTTAATTTATTTCCATCTTCTAAACCACTTGGTTTGACTTCCTAGGATTAGTGGTTTAGTAGCATGCAAGCTTATCTCGTAGGAAAATCCAAATGGTCATTTACCTCGTTCGCATGTGCCTTCCTGAGCTTGATCATCTTATCGGAGAAGTTTCCAAAAGTTCTAAGATTCTCTTAGAGTCGTAATTCACATAAGAATTGACTAGCAAACAAAAGTCAAATAGATGAATTTGGAACACTCACGCGCACTAAGGGGTCGCTACATGCATTTTCACGCACGAGAACCTTTGCACAGTCGCAAGTTCGACATAGTCGATCGAGTTGCAAGTCAGATCGCTTGGGTACTGAGTCGAGTTTAGGTCGACTTGGGACCGAATGGTTTACAAGTGTCAACTGCCAGGGCTAGACGCATATTTCCCATCGTTTTCTGCCATGTGTTGATGGTCGATTACACCAGGCTCCTCCATGCGTTGGGCGACAGGTGCGTTCAAACATTTTCTTTAAATTTTGGTAACATAACGCACACAACTTGGACGTATTATTTTGGAAATTATCAGATGACCTCACAACAAAATAAAGTCATTCAAAGTAACGTAAAACTCATGTTTATATCTCAAGAAATACCAAGACTCCTCGTACAACCAAAACAAAAAGGTCATAATTGTACCTTATGAGTCTTCAATTTTCTAGAGTGAATCTACCACCCAAATTTCTCTTCCCTTGCCAAAATAAGCCTCTATAGGGAGTTTTCTTGACTTTGATCTCAATGGTGAATTTGTGGCAGTTTTTACAATGAAGTCTAACGAGAAACACAACAAAGTACTCGTAACTTTTAATTTTAATGACAAAGTGAATTATACAACCAAAATTATTTAGGGTTTAGGGTTTTATTTCAAGATTCTGAGATGAAAAAGAGACAAACAAGAGATTATATAAAATCCATGTGTTGGAGAATCAATTTACTCTTTTGCCCTCAAAAATTCCTTCCCAAGAATAATATCGGAACCCTTATCGACATTTAATTTCCAATTTTTTCATCATTCCTATTGGTTGCTTCTTATTTTCCTTTTTACTTTTTATTTTCCTCAATTATTACCCATTTCTTATATTATTTTTCATTAATTTTGCTTTTGTTTTTATTATATGTTCCCTATTTATATTATATTGACGAAAATTTAATTTTTAAATAAACGGTACAAAAATATGACACAAAATAATTGAACCATACAGCCCCGTTGAATCAAGATATCAAAAGTCATTATCATCCGAGATAAAATGATATTCATTTGAGAATTTTAACATATATGAGAACTAGAGGGTAGAAACAACTAAGGAGTTCATATGAAGGTGCTAGGATCCAAGGGACTTTGGTCAACATAAACAAGTTATGGGGCTAGAGGAAAGATATAATTATGTTTCATGACCATTTATTGTAACTGATTTTTGTAGTAAATTCTGTGAAATGTTTTGTTTACTTGTATTATAATTTACTTAATAAAACACATGGTGTTTTAAATGATCAAAATTGTCGAGACTATTTTGATCCAATGTTAGGCTCGGACGCATTGTTAATGGGTTCTAGCACAAAGATTGGGCTGAAGCTACCGGCCCAAAGAGCAATGACAGTTTGATTCAAAGTAACCAAAAAAAGGTAAAATGCAGAAGTCAGGACAAACGTAATTTGATTAGAACCAGTTCATGGTTAAGATCGAAGGAGATGGATCAGACAAAAGTGTGAAGAACACACCAGCATAGAATAATCAGCGTCGATCATTTGGGGAAAGTGTCATCACTTCCATCTACGATTGGTAGTCATACATCTCAAACAACATTTGAAACAAATAGTGAAAGTAGAGCCTAAATTCAATTAACGACGCTAAATAAAAACATATACAATCAAATATCAATGAGAAATACAGCATTAAATTCTATGAAACTCAGTGCACCGAAAGACTATAAGACAAGGAAAATTCAAATAAAGAAAGATCGAAGAAGAAGGATCAGACGGAATGTGATATATACACCAGCATAGTATAATCAGCGTCGATCATTTGGGGAAAGTATCATCAATTCCAACTTCATCGCAATTATTCAGTTTAGCAACTGAATACAATCATCTTAAATCAACTAAAAGTACTAAAAGAGAAATGACAGTTCCTTTCGAAGAACACTAAAAAGTAGAATGGAAAAGTCAAAACGAATTCAAATTAAATCAAAATCAAATGAGATGGATCAGACAAAAGTGTGGTAACCACACCAGCACAGTATAATCAGCGTCGATCATTTGGGGAAAGTGTCATCACTTCCATCTGCGATTGATAATCATACATATCAAACAATGCAAAAGGCAACATTAAATCCGTAGCAAGTAGTAGTGGCCTTAAGCACGAAACTGAAACTCAAAGCCGGCTTCGTGTGGAAGCCATGAAGGCCTCTTTAGTTAACAGAATCGGAGCTGCTATCACGGCGGCTCATGCAAAGCAACCGACAATGAAACAGAGTCTAACGGATGCCAGTAATCAGTATCCGACACCATTAAGTCCACTACGAAAAGAAAATGGTTTACCTCTTACGAATCAAAACCCTAACGCCCATAGTGAAGATTGGCCGCATGAAGAAGACGATTGTTGGTGTGATAGATAATGCGCTAAGAAGCTTATATATAGAAACAGAGGGGCTGCAATGTTCGCTTCCAAACCCTAAAATTGCTTATTAGGGTTTACAGATCTATCGTTTTATATCATGCCACGTGTACGGTCCGATTTTCCTTTTTATCAGCCGTTTACATTTTTTTGAATAAAACTATCGTAAAGAATGATATAGCATTACTTGATTAATTTATGAGATTAGATGTTTGAATCTAACGACCATTGTTGTTCGGGCGACCTTGACTATCCAAGTCCAATAAAGGTTCAATTTGGTTGAATTTTTAAAAAAAATTGACAAATTTAGTTTGTTTTACAGGTTGACATTTTTTGGTCGAGTCAATTCGACCAACCCAAAATTAGAGTTACAGCCCAATTCAATCTTACTATACTTTAAAAAAAAAAAATTAAGAATATAATGTTCATTGAGGTTAGTGGTGTGATTGGTGTGATATGACTCGTTCATGATTGATATTTGAACTTTATAAAATTTTAGTTATTAATAATAAGTAGGGTTTTGTTAAATAATTATAAATAAAAATAAAAAAGAACGACCCAGCAAATCCAACCCAAATCGAAAAATAGAGAATTAAGTTGGGTTGTGAATTCTATTCGAGTTGTTCGGGTTATATTTAGTTTTAGATTTTTAACTAGATCGATATTCATATTCAAACTCTTTTAGATTTTTTTTTTCTCTCACTAACAATTAGGTTAAGATAATCAAGACCAAATTGAATAGGACGCCACGAACCGACATGGTCCCGTAGGAGGTCGACCAAATGTCGACCTTGGTCTCGTGTCAAGGCTGAGGGGGTTGATTAGGGGCCTCGACCCAAACTATTCTCTTTTCCTTTACCACATGTATTGAGCTTCTTTTCCACTAGTTTCGTGGCTAACTTTATTTGACTAATGAAGGAGAGTCACTATATAATTAAGAACATGTTAATATACAAGATTTTGGTGCAAGTTCATGAAGGGCCAAGGAGAGACCTTGCATAAGCCATTGGTAGTGCCAACATTTTCTTGGCTTTGCTCACATATGCCCTCTTCGTGAAGTTGTTGTAGTCATTTGCTTCAATCTCGTCCAATATTTGCCGATATAGTAGCAATGAAGCCCACACCTACAAGCATTATGGCTACCATTCACATTTCAAGCACAATGACTAATAGAACGAATGATGGACGTTCGATCAAAATGGATAGCAAAATGAAGAAGAAAAGTAAAAGAAACATTGGATTGTTTACCGGCCATCTGCTAGCGTTACTAAGCTCCAACACTCCTTTTTCGGCCTCATCGAAGAACGTTCGAGCTCGTTTAATTTGACTCTTCATGAAGTTCCTCCATTTATCAGTTACTCTTCCAGCAAATATATCCTCCTCTGAAATTCCTGCCTGTGCTAGCTCATCTTGCGGTAGGTAGATTCTTCCTCTTCTAGCACTTTACAATACCGTAAATAAATCCCGTTAAAGAAAACGTCTTTTGCACCTGTTTATGCACTTTAATCGACAATGGTTATGGTCGTTATTGTGATATCCGACATTGGTTGGTGAGGAGAACGAAACACCATTTATAAGGGTGTGTAAACCTTTCCCTAGCTTGAGGAGAAGTCTCAAAGGGAAAGCCGAAAGAAGACAATATCTGCTAGAGGTGGACTCGGGCAGTTCCAGTTCTAGAGTTTAGACTTGTTCTACGACGTTCTTTTTTACTTTAACATTAAGTTTACACTATATGTTGATTTCACCCCTATCCGTGAATGTTTGAGCTAGCGTGTGTGTACTACTAATGTCATGAGAGAGCCGTCTATGTTGCGGATTATTGGGAGTGAGTCCCACGTTAGCTAATTTAGGGAATGATCATAGGTTTATAAGTAAAGGAATACATCTCCATTGGTATGAGGCCGCTTTTGGGGAAGCCCAAAGCAAAGTCACGAGAGCTTATGCTCAAAGTGGACAATATCATACCATTGCTTCCTAACAGTCTGACCCTACTATGTTTGATTGCCTAATGTCGTTGTAATGGTTTGAACTAGTTCCCTCTAAGTTCTTAACGATTATCGAGCTGACCCTACTATGTTTGATTGCCTAATGTTGTTGTAACGGTTTGAACTAGTTCCCTCTAAGTTCTTAACGATTATCGAGCTGACCCTACTATGTTTGATTGCCTAATGTCGTTGTAAGGGTTTGAACTAGTTCCCTCTAAGTTCTTAATGATTATCGAACTTACTTAAAGATTAGTTAAGACATGAACCAGCTTAGGAAACATTACACTAGAGTCAACAAGGGCAGTGAACTTACTCTTCTCCAACATCTCTGAGAATGTTTGTAAGCTGGTTAGCAATGCCTAAAGCCAAAGCAGCATTGTACACACTCTCTGTGCTTGCTTGCGAGTCAGGTGCAATGCCCATCACAGGAACGCTCATCAACCCAACTGTTCCAGCAACATAATAACAGTAGAGATATAGTTCGTCGAAATTTTTGTATCTCGACTTCCTTAGATCCATTCTCATCCCTTCGATCATATCTTTAAACGGCTGCAAAAATCGAAACGTATTAGACTTCATCCAACTTCATAGCCAAACACCATCTCTACTAGAGGTACGAAGATTTCATATGGCTATGATGTCGATTGAACCATAGCTGACCTGAATGTCGACAGGAAACTTAGTAAGAGTATCCGCTAAAGCGGCGTCGAGCATATCAAAAGGCCTCCCTTGGAAAAGCTCTTCCAGCCTTGCCTCCCATCTATCCAATGCTGATGGTGTTATGTGTGAAGCATTTGGTCCATCAACAAGCTCATCTGTCCTCCTACACCACACTTGAAGCCAACAACAAACGAGGACACTCAGTACAAATTGTGTTACGATCGCACAATAACGTACATACTCAATCTAGATGAACACAAAGAATAAGAGAGAGAAAATGCAAGGAGGCAAGTTCTACTATGTATAACAAAAGCTATAGATAACAGTCGGCTCTATAACCGAACAGATTGCGCACCGACATCATGTCGATCAAAGCTACAAAGGCCAAGCAAAGGAAATTCAAATATAATAGTTCACTACCACTTACCATATATTGCCCAAATAGCTTTTTGTCTCTCGGGAGTCATCAGCATAGTTCCTAAAAAGAAGAACAAAAAGACATGAAATCAGACAAGAATTTAAGTAACAAATTTTGAGTAAGAAAAATGATAACAAAAAGGCTAACCCAGATAAAATGTCTTGGCATACTCCGCACAAACTTCACCACAGCGATCATAAGCTTCGTTCAACAAGCTCAGAGTCCCAGGAAGAACAATATCCGACTTCACATCCAATTCTCCGGCGGTCCTCAGCTGCCGTTTCACCAGAGCCGCCTGTTTCATAACCACGTCGTACACCTTTTTCTCCGACGAGACGGTCATTGCTCCGGCGGGATTCACCACCATACTTGCAGCAATAACTGGGTACTTCAATTGTGAGGAGCGAGAGTAATTCCCCCATTTGTGTCTCTTTTTCATCATTTTCGCCGCTCGATTTCGGGAAAAGAATCTCGAAGAATCGGGAATTTGAGATCCATCTCGGACTGAATCAAGAAATCCGAAGCTCGATGGGGAAATTTCGACGTTGGAAGAGACAACCAACGACGAAGCAAAAGACATATCAATCGATTTTCAAAATTTCACTCCCTCACTCGATGATTCGAATCTAGAAATAACGAATCGCAGAGTAATCGAGAAACCCAATTGGAAAATGAAGTGGAAAAAGGAAGTTAAATCCAATTGAACCGTCCAAGAAATTCCTAGCAATGCTTTGACACGGAGGAAGCTCCCCACTTAGTTTCTCTTTTGTATCGCGCCTGTAATTCGTCCAAAAATTTATAGTTTAAAAAACAAGCACAACCAAAACAGAGTACAATAAATTAATATAAGAACCCGATTATGTGGACATAAAATAAACTTCGTGACCAGCCAACACCTAACACTCACATGGTGATTATCCTCAGATTTCTTCGAAATTTGACTAGAATATGAACAGAAACGAATCCCCAAAATAAAAAACAAGAACAGCAGAATCACTTACGATTGTTGAAGAACAGCAATGGAGGAGGGAGGAGAAACGAACCGCCAAGGGAGGGAGCTCTCTGTTTCGATTCAACTTTGAAGATTGATTGTAATATAAAAAGGCGATTGAAATGAAATGGGTGTTGTTTTGTTTGTTTTTTTGTGGCGCATTTGAGTTGAGGCCACTGTGCGCTTTTCGGGGTTTTGGTGGTGGATGGTTGCTGTAATGGAGTCTTGATCGTTGCTGGAAGAATATGGTCCGCAAACTGCGTCGAGCCCGTCCAGTTTTTGCTTTTTCTGCAAGTTGCCGCTCAGTTTTAAATTGGGGCTGAGAGTGTGGGTCAAATTGTAGCTTGCCCAAAAAAATATTACATTTTTATTTCCGTCCATTCAATACGCGAGTAAGTATCGATATCTTCTAGCTCTTCGAACTCATACTCCTTCGTAAGATTTTGGGTTCATTTGCTATTGTAGCTACAATGGAAGATTTAAAGTTCGTGGGTCTAACTTCTTCTACACGAACCAGTCGGCAATTCCCTTGTTAGACCGCTCTAGCTTGGTACTGTATCAGCGCTCGACTACGTCTTGAGCCCTATCCAAACTAAGGCAATTTTTACATATTCGCTTTGTCGGCCTTACTTAATGTTAAATTATTATCGTCTATGATGTTCATTTGTTTGTATCTTTTGAATATCGCTATAATTATTGAAAATAAATTAACGACGTTATTGAATAATTTGTCTGAAAAGGAAAAAAGTGTGATGTCATGCCATTGGTATGAAGATAAAGGGAGAAGCGTGAGAGTGTAGGAAGAAGATGACACGTGGACAAGCCAGCCCAATCAGCTGATGATAACGTTATCAAAAATTCACCCTACCGCACTAACGAGATACATTGTACACCTAAATAGCACACGTGGCAGACATGTAAGCCCATGAGATCCGGTACTAATGGTTACCGACCCATAAAAGGACACATGCCTAGGCCTAGATTTAATGATCATAATTTGAACACTAAATTAATAAATAAAATATTCAATAATAACCTTTAATTTTTTAAAAAGTAAAAAAAAAAAAAAAAACCATTTATATATAATTTTAGATAAAAACCTAATATTTTATTTTAAAATATACTTAAAACTTTAA